TTTAATAATTTAAGTTTTTTAGATTTGTTATCATTATTAAAATATTATAACTTATAATATAAAATTAAATTTTAATAAGCAATTTTATACCACCAACATCTATAAATCAACCATGTTGAACAGATTGAGATGTTTGTTTTAGGAATTTATCTTAACAAGATAACTACACTATTGTCAATCAACTACAGTCCTGCATATTAAATTTATATCTTAACAAGGAAAAACATTGCGGGATGAGTACTGGGATGCTTAGTTGTATTGAGAATTTCTTCAAAACCATGTTTAATAAATTTTAAAGTTAAAAAAAAAAAAAAAAAAAAAAAAGAAGTGAGAAGCTATACCATCTTCTTGGTTGATTGGCAACCGAAACAAATCTTCTACCATAAAACCACAAGAGCATTGAGAATGGTGGAAAGGTTGATCTGTTGGTTAATGCCTCCACATACGCCTAGTAAATCCTGGAAGGACTGCCAGAAGCTCCAGTTCTCTTGACAAGAGGTCCTGACTGATAACAATTGTTATGATTGTCGTCAGTGGGAAAGCATGTTCTTAAAAAGTTACAATTCCAGAAGTTCTAGGAGAGTAGCAAGTGCAAAACACCAGAATCTCTAACCTGAAATGGAACAACTTATGTGGTTAAAACTTTGATTTCATATGAAAACCGATCAAATTTATAAAGAGATTAACTAATGGCACATATGATTGCCTAGTAACAAGATAAACCTTGACAAACATTCTGGTTTGGGCTCGGACAAGAAAGAGCCATGAAAAAATAAGAGTTTAGCTAAATCTGTTTGTGAGCCTCAACAACTCAAAATAGAGGACTACTCATTTGGTTAGGTACCTAATGTGAAAAAAAATAATTATTGGAAAGATACAGTTCTAGGGATTTACTAGCATAAGTTACAATTATGCTAGTAAATCAAAGGAAAAACTTGATAAGTAAATCACAACTATCCCTCCAGAGAAACTCTCACTTAAATTGAGCGGAATTAAACAAACACAAAATTGTC